AGGGAGGGAGGGAGGCACGCACACCGGCGGCCGCCCCCTCAGGCGCCTCTCGCGAGATCATTCGAACACGCAGCCAATGGAGTCCCCCTGCGCAGGGGCGGGGCGTCCGCCCACCGGAAGTCAGGGCCTCAGCTTCCGTTCTTGCGCACTACTACTTGGCGGTGCCCTAGTTCTACGGGTTGGCGCGAGAGTCAAAAGGCTGAGGTTCGCTGCCACTTCTGCGTGAGATGGCTGCCGCAGGGGCTTCCGCGTCCAGAGTGCTAGCGCCCGAATGGAAGAGACGAGTCCACTGAGTCCGCGGCGAAGGTCCCAGCCCCTTTCCTGTCGTCTGTGTGAGGCCGGGGAGCGTGGGGAGGGGTGGGAAGGCCCGGATGCCCTAGCTGAGGAGGGCGTTCCCTGGCCTGTGTGGCGCGCCGGGCTCGAGTCCCCAAGGCCCAGGCTAGGCCTCCGGACGAGGGCGCGCTCCTTAGGGCTCTATCGGCGGACGTTATAATCGAGGCCCGGTCAGCGTCAGAGCCAGGGGCCCTGCCTAGAGCGACCGTCACAGCCGTGCTCGGAGCGGACGGCGGAGACCCTGCCCTGGGGCGCGGAGTGGTCTCCCCGCTTCAGGGCGTCGGTGGGGACGCCCTACTCCCGGGGCGCTCGCTCACGGAAGTGACTCCCTGTTCCAAGGGCGCTCTCGGTGGGGACTCCCTGCCACCCGAGGAGCAGGGGGAGCACACACCGAGGTGACCCTCTTCTTCTGGGGCATTCAAGGAGGGGATCCCTGCCCTTAGGTGCGTACGCTCGGAACCCTGGTGGAGACCCCTGTCCTGGATCGCCGACGCTGAGGATCCCTGCCCGGGGGAGGAGATGGAGGGGATGGGGTGGAAAGAAGGCACCCCCAACTCTTGGCTCTGGGCCTCGGGGTGGTCCTGAGAGCCTGCGGTGCCTCGGGGCTGGGTACGACTTGGGGGGCCCTGGGGAACTGCCTGACTGTAGGTGGTAAATGGATATTTGCATGTTTACGCGCGTATTGTCTGCTGAAAGGGAATGCAAACTCAGTCTTAATGCTAAAAGATTCTGGAATGCTTGGGGTTGGAAAGTTTAGAAGTCTGGGTTTAGGGTTGGGTGTGATTGCTTAAAAGTGAGCCCTGTCAGGGGAAAGCAAGCTCTGACCTAATCATTGAAAATAAATCTAATTTAGCTGTTATGTTGAACAGTGATCACTGGCTATGAACATTTTCCATTAACTGAATGAGCTAAATTTGCAGGTCCAAAGTTCTGACTAAAGCTGTTTAAAAGGAGGCAGGTGCACTGCAGTAGATAGCAGCAAACTTTGTAGTGCTTAACCCTGAGTAAAGTTGTTGGATATCACCTCGAAAGTGTGCCAGAGCCTGAAGCCGATATCCTAAGGGAGGGAGTGGACTACTACTCCCTACTTCAGTGCATCTGGATGATGGATTAGTAGCACAGCCAGCCAGCGCCAAGGGCTGCTCTTCCTTCTCTGTTCTCCTCCCTACAAACTGGCCCTTTAGTGTTTCTCAGCCACTTAACCTTGAGCCCAGCATCTTTGCTGCTTGGATTACCACAACGTCTTTCCCAACATGTGCCACACATGCTCTTACCTTACCTTCTCTCCCGTTCCCTGTCCTTGTCATACCCTCAGGCACTCCCCAATTGTCTACCTAGTGTAAATCCAGCTAAAAGTCTTCCTTTCTGTTCTCATCATCCTAACTTGTGCTTCTCAGGGGGCTGGGTTATGTGAAATGCTTCCCTCAGCTGCTGGGGCTTCCTTGAGACTCCCTTCCTAAACATCAGTGATCTGTGTCTCTCCTTGTGCTCAGGTGGTATTCTAAACCAGGACTTCTTAAACATAACACCTTTTTGCCTGAGAAATTTTTTTAGGTGACTCTGGGTATATCAGTCAGACATTAGCTGATAATATAAATTTATTTTATTTTAAAGCAATTTTCTTTTTTTTGGTTTTGGTTTTTTTGAGACAGGGTTGCCCTGTAGCCCCAGCTGGCCTGGAACTCAGAGATTCGCCTGCCTCTGCCTCCCAAGTGCTGGGATTAAAGGCATGTGCCACCACCTCCCCCCCCTTTTTTTTTTAAGTAAAGATGAGATCTTACTATATACTGGCCTCAAACTCAGAGATCCCTCTGCTCTGCCCCTGCTTCTCGAGTTCCAATGCTGGAAATAAAGACACTGCCACACCCAGCCTTGATTTTTTTTTTTTTTTTTTTTTTTTTTTCCAAAGCCAAAGCTGGAACTCAAGCAGAGGCAGGCGGATCTCTGCCAGCCTGGTCTACATAGTGAGTTCCAGGCTAGCTGGAGCTACAGAAACCCTGTCTCAAAAAGTTTATTTATTTATAAACTCAAGTCAGCAACTCCCAACAGCTCAGTAGTGCTCTTGCAGAGGATCCTGGTTTGGTTCCCTGGTAGATCATACTCATCTATAAATGCATTTATTGGGGATCTGACACCCTCTTCTGGATTCTGCAGGCACACACACACACACACACACACATAATTAAAAGTAATAAAAATAAATCTTTGAAAAGAACCAAGATTGTAGTTAATCGATGCAACATGGGTAACCCTCCCAGAAATACCTCAGATTTGTTTTGTTTGACTTTTTAAAATTAGTTTTTGTTTTTTGCATGTTTAGAAACCTTTTACTGTTGCCAAATTTTTCATGAACACCCCTCCCCCCATTCAGTTACGCAGCTCCATTTGGGTGACAACTCACAGAAACTGGATTTTATGGGGCTGGGGAGATGATTCAGTGGTTACAAGCAGTAGCTGCTCTCGCAAAGTACCCCTGGAACGTTCATAGCACTCACATGGCAGCTAACAACTGTGTCTAACTCCAGTTCTAGGGGCTCCAACACCCTCTTCTGGCTTCCCACAGGCATTGTATGCACATGGTGCACTTACATACATGCAGACAAAACTCATACACACAAGACTTAATAAGGAAAGAAACTGGGTTTTAAACCACCTTTTCATGGCTCTTGACACTACTTTGTGTCACTGATGTCTGATAATATATCATAGTGTAAGGTTCAACCTGGTGTTGTGGTGCATTCCTTTAATCAGCACTTGGAAAGTAGAGGCAGGCAGACAGAGTTCAAAGCCAGCCTAGTCTGCATAGTGAGACCCTGTCTCAAAACAAAAACAAAACACAAAATGTAATGTTTACTGGGGTGGGGAGATGGCTCCATATTAAAGTTCTCACTGCACAGACATGGGGACCTGAGTTTGATCCGTTTGTGTAAAAGCCTGGCCCTAGCTTGTGTTTGTAACCCCAGTACTGGGGAGGCAGACAGGATTCCTGGGGCATGCTGGCCAGCCAATATAGATGAATTGGTGAGCTCCAGGTTCAGTAAAGGGTCCTTCTCAAAAATAAGGTGAAGATTGAGGAAGACACCCAGTATCAGCCTCTGGCCTCCACACACAGCTGTACTTTTGCATCTGCACATGTTTACACATGAACATGTATACAAATAAAAGAAAAGCAAGGTTTTCATGTACTGACTACGGCATATCAGGTAATAGCTGAGTGTTCAGTACACAGTAGGTGCTTCCTGTGAATCTGTTGAGTAGATGAGGGACTAAATGAGTAAGCTGCACCAAGGACCTTTCCTGAGATAAACACTAATATTTTTCTTTATGTGTGGGCGTGTGGCACAAAGGCCAGAGATGTTGGGTGTCCTGCTCTATCAACTCCACCTTAGCCCCTTGTGACTTGGTTTCTCAGTGGACCTGAAGCTGGGCTAGTGACCAGCACCTTAGCCCCTTGTGACTTGGTTTCTCAGTGGACCTGAAGCTAGGCTGGTGACCAGCAAGCCCCAGCAGTCATCTGGTGAGCCATCTTCCCATTCCTATGAGCTCATTTTTCAATTAGATTTTGAAATGTATTTGAGGCATAGAAGGAGGTTCTAGGGAGCAGTTGAAGTGTGTGTGTGGGGCTCTAGACACAGTAGGGGTCAGTGTGCTTGATTGCCACAGCACGTGTGGAACAGACAGGAAAGTGGGGCAGAGCTTTGAAGATCCTTATGTTCAGAGGCACCAAGGATGTAGGAGAGTAGGAAAGAAGTGGGTATGTCCAGGGACGGGGCCATATTAGCTACCTTCTGGGACAGTCACGAAACTGACCAAGACTAGCTGAACCTCCTATGTCCAGGAGGAAGGCCTACAGGAGAGAAGTCATAGGATCCCATCCTGCGGTAGGAGGGTACCACTATTCTGTAAGCCAAGGCAGGACTTGGAAGTTGTTTCATTTTGAGAATAGCAGTACTCTAAAAAGAGGGGTGCTAGAAGTAAATGGATTACAAGAGCATGGTCCAGTGAGATGGCTTAGCTGCCAAAGTTGCTTGCTGCCCAACTATATATGCCTGGTGACCTGAAGTCTAGATCCTGGGAACCTGTATAAAGGTGGAAGGAGAGGACGCTACAAAGTTGTCCTCTGACCTGTTCTGGTAGTATGTATATTGTACACACACGATAAAGTTTTAAACTAAAATTTGAAGCAACATTATAAAGCGGCTGAGGTAGTGCTTAGTGACAGAGCACTTGCCCGGCATAGGCGAATCCCTAGTGAAGTCAGTCCCTGCACTCCATAAACAATCAGATTTAACAAGTTTTTTTTTTTTAATTTTTTAATTTTATGTGTATGAATTGCCTGCATGACCTCGAAGGTCAGAAGAGGGCCTCGGCTTCCCCCAAAACTGGAGTTGAGGCCGGTTCACAGTTGCCATATGGGTGCTGGGAATCGAACCCTGGTCCTCTGCAAGAGCAGTCAGTGCTCTCAATCATCAAGCCATCTCTCCAGCCCCAGATTTAACAAGTTTTAGAGAAAAGCACTTTGAAGATAAAATATAGAGCACTTTGTTAGATCAGTGTTCAGAAACCAGGATACTGGATTTGTTTTACACAACCACATTATTTCTATGGATGTTTTTATTTTGCTTTCAACATAAAAAGATTACAGACCTTTGCGTCCTGGAGTCCCTGGCTTCTGCAGGAAAGATCTGTAAAGCCAACTCTGACTTTTCAGGATCCTTTCTGAGCTGACTACTGCTTCTTGCTTCTCAGAATCAACAATAGTATAAGCAGATGGTAAATGGGTGATGCCAGTTTCCAAAGACTTGACTTTTCAAGGCATGTCTTTAAAGCTTCTTAGCAGAGATGTTAGGCGTAAGGAATTTTCTTGAACTTGTCACTGAGTGTTGGTTATAGGCCAAGACTCCATAAAGCACCTTCAGTGGGGATTCTGTGGTATGGTCAGTCACACCTGTCCCTCTTCCTCATATTCTAATTATAGATTCTTATTGGTTGGGTATTAGGTAAGGTTTTTCATGATTTTTTTTTTTTTTTTTTTTTTTTAAACCTTTAACGCTGGGCGTGGTGGTGCATGCCTTTAATCCCAGCACTCGGGAGGCAGAGGCGGGTGGATCTCTATGAGTTCAAGGCCAGCCTGGTCTACATAGTGAGTTCCAGGACAGCTGGGGCTACAGGGAGACCCTGTCTCAAAAACAGAACAAAACACCTTTAACTCCTCCTGACTTTGGGTCATAAATTGGGTCCAGCATATTGTTACTTGGAACAAATGCTGGGGGATCCAGACAATCCTCCAGGCTTGTAGGAAAGCCTTTCAGAGCTGGCTAGTCAGGATTTAAGAATGTGCACTTACTAATTTGGGATTTGGTTTTGTTTGGTTTTGGATGAAGCCTGGCCTGTAACTCATTTATGTAGGCCAGACTTGCTTTGAGCGTACAGATCTTCCTCT